GGCGTCTTGCCTAGAAATTAGTCATAGGGGATATGGTGTGAAATAATGAATTAAATTAATAATGAATATTGGATAGATAAAATGTTGATCTGCCATTTATAAATAAGAATGGAAGATACTATAGTTTGTATCTCTGAATCATTTCAGCATCTTTTTTCCTTAATAACATTGTTAGAGCCTTCATAAGGCAATCGAAGTCAGGGTCTCCGAAAGTCCGTAAACAGGTTAATAAAACTGTCATGAGTGCCAGCTCAAACGCTGCGGGTCGTCTTTGTCAGGTCAAGACCAGGACCTCGGCCAGGTCCTGTGTGACATGCATGCACAATGAGCTGCTGGCCAAAAAGGAATGGAATTGCAGCAGGCCAAAATAGCCTTGGCCATAAATTCCATACTGTTTTCATGGCTTGTATTGTACGGGGTCGGACTTCTTCTCTATGTCGCTCAATAATAATAGGTGTCAATAAAAATTTATTGCAGTTTGACCACCATGAAATCATCGTTAGGCATTGACAGTTCATGCCGAGTTAGGGTCACCTCCTCCAGCTCCTCCTGCAACTAAAAGAGAAGAGATCAGGTCGGATCAGGGAATGCTCAGTGGGAAAAAGGTCAATGAAAGCACCACAGGACATGGTCGCAGAGAGTCGCAGAAGGTGAAGGCTGCTCTTGCCGCCCACATAACTTGACTCCGGGTTGGCCTTTCGCCTTTTCTTCGGAGCTGGCACACACACACACCAGCCGCTCACTCGGCTCGTTTGTCACATTTAACAGATTTGTTATCCTGTCGAGTTAATGTCGGGCGCACAAGTCCCGTCTGCCCGACTGTCGCACACATGTCCTGAGACCTCCATCCACCATTCACCATCCTTCTATCCATGCACCCGCAATCCGAATCCTGGCTGGGATTCACGAGAATCGCTTGACAGGGACCTTGGGCTGGCAATAAAAACAAAAGATTGATGGCATTGGGCACACGTTCGATTTGTTTTCCTGTTGCTCGACGGACGTACCGCCCACCCCTCTCCGCTGGGGCCATGTCCTTGTGCCTTTTAGTGCTTTGTAATGTCTTAACATTTGACACATCACTTGGATTTCATTCCATCCACCGACAGAGAGCAGAATCAGCAGGGGCAGGAGCCGAAGTAGTCCACCCCGATCCACTAAGGATATTGCTCGTTAGTTAAGGTTTCTAATAAATTTGTGCAACACATTTCTTTCCTTTCGGGGCTTGTCGTTGGCCTTCCTCTGTCGTCGCTTGTAACATTTTTATTTGATAACATATTGCATTTGCCCTTTTCACCAAATCTTTTTCCTTTTTGGTTCCCCCTTTCCGTTTGGTTTCGGATTTCGAGTCCTTCGAATTAGTCCCCCCTTGTTTTCCCAGCCAACCTTTTGGGTGGGTTTCCTTTCCTCTCGCTCTTCCTCTCTCTCTAAAATATTGGCTGGAAACTCGAGCCATCGTCTGGCGTCTCAACTGGAAACCCAGTGGCCAAGTGATTTATGGCGTCTGTGTTGGTCATTCAACTGCATTTGATTTAGGTTGTAAATTGTTGTATATTGCGGCCATCGCGATTCGTTTCCTGTTTATGTTTGCCCCTTAAATTCAGCGTACTTTTCCGCTTTCGCTCCTCAACATTTTTCGCTAATGAATTTATGGCAGTTTTTTCTTGGGCGTGGTAAGGGCTTTGTGGGTAAAATGCAATTGCTAAAAGATGGTAAATGTATAGAAAAACTGACAGGAAAGCTAGTTTTATGAAGTATTTTAACTTATAGTATCAAATGATATATTTCCAGATTTTTATACCCATACCATTATCTTAGCTAATGCAATCCTCTATATACCTCCTCAAGAAGCAATAAATCTCTTGAATTCCAAAAGTCACCCAGTAATCATTAAGGAAAAGCATCGTTCTTTATTTTCCGTCAGCGTTACTAATTTTTTGGCATGGCTTTTATGCGGTCATCACTGGCTTAGCGAGATGGAAGGTGTGAGTCATCTATGACAGGCGAATATTATCCTTCTTTTTCGGCGGCGGGAGACGAGAACGAAAGTGATAAACGATGGAGAGGAAAAGTGAAAATGGAACTGAGGAATAGGAAGAGGAAGAGGGATGCCAAAGAGCCTGACACTTGGACGTGAGCACACAAATAACACTTAACACAATAACAAACAAACTTTTCGACTAATGACAGTCCAAGTAGCAAACAATTTATCGAATGCCAGAAAGGAGCAGCAGCCAGGCAGGAGCACATATCCATGGCCACATCCACATCCTCATCCACATCCACCCATTCGCACTGAGAGTTCCTTTTGCCAAGTCATTAATCTTGTTTCGCTTTGGTCGATATGGCGTGGCTGGGGAATAAGGGAAGTCAGCGGGAGTTCCAATGCCCGATTCCCAACCATGTCGTCGTTATCCTTTCAAGCGTGAACACATGCGATTACGTCTTGGTGTGTGTCCTTGTCGTTGTTTTTGTTCTTGTTGCTGTTGCCAGTTTCCGCATTTTCCTGCGCCAGGCGGCTGCCATGATTAAGTGCCATTTTGAAAAGTACTAAAATCCTGTTGGTCATGGCCCTGGACCTGGACCTCTTTCCCACCTTCTTCGCACCTCCCCGCCAGCCCCTGCGCCAAGCTGGCAATGTCAAAGTGTCAATGATATATGTTATACGCTCCGATAAGACGCCCTCTCCACGGCCAGAAGGACCTGGGCGGCGGGGAATTTTGGGTGGTTTGGGTGCGAAAAAACCCCGGTGTTTTTGGGCACCCAACAAAATATCGACAGTGAACAAAAGCCCGGCTGGTGAAATCAGTGCACGTTCACACAATAACATAATAGTTGGTCATATATTTTACCCATTTTCCATCTTATCCCACCGCTTCCATTTGGCACTCGTAATTTTTCTTCAATTTTCCCTGCTGTCTCTGCTTGGTTCTGCTTTGTTAAAAATGGCTGGCCAATGACTTGATAAAATTTGAGATATATTTCTAAATAATTTACTTAGAGTATTTCTATTGCAAACTATAAAAATAGAAAAGGAAACTTACATTTTATAAAGTTTATTAAATTTCTTAGAATTTAGTTAGCCAGCCAGTTTATTTTCGAGTTCGTAAAAATCTCAGCTGCTTTGATTTACTTTTAAGGCTAAAATTAACTCTTCTGACTCACTTTTGATTTATTTAAGTAATTATTATTATAAATTGTTTTACAAAAGTGTTTCTTTTTGCGTTTGATTACAAAATAATTAAAGTACATACATTAAATCACTAAGACAAGCAATTCCGGATAAAAACAAAACGTTTTTGATAAGGAAAGCATTAATTACGTTTGAGATTTAAGATTAAAGCGGGACGCTTTATCAATATTGAGTTATTTCAAAACTTTCATGTCTTTATACAGAGAAACTTGTCATAAATTTTAAATCCAGCTAATGATCGGTAGATTTCTACCGATTAAAAGTAAGACTTATTAGTAATGCCTGTCTAAGACGTGTATTTTTCTGAATTCCAGCAATCAGCCGTCGACGGTAAACAGTTTTTGCCAGCTGTAAATTAATTCGGCAAAGGCGAAATCTCTCAAGTGGGTGCGAAATCGGTCGTAAACAGCCTCTTGGGCCCGCCCGTTGTCTCAGTTCCGAGTACTTTCGATATGATCGAGAGATCTTGGACAGACAAGACTGATGATCGTATGCATTGGACCATCTCGCAGTCCAAAAAAACAAAAGTGAGAGAGAAACGTAACCGGAAAAAATCAAAGGCAAAACAATGATCAAAGCTGTCATTACAGATCGAGGGGCGGTCTTTGATCTTGCGCCGCAATGTGGTTCAGTTGGGGGATTTTATGTTTTGTTTTTTATTTGATTTTCACTTTGTTCTATCAATCAGCGCCTACTACTTTGCGACCGAGAGGCGAAATGGAGAAGGGTATATAGATCGGTTCCGTTCGTTTTTGGTTCGGGTTATAAAATGATCTTGAGAACATCGGTATGCGTGTGTTTTCCTTACTTTTCACGTAATAAAAACACATTAACAACAACAGGCAACACGTTAATTTCGTTTAAAAATAAAATAGACGAAATAATTGCCATTGCATGGGGCCATCCTCAACGCCTAAAAGTCGGAAAATCGCATTTGATGGATGACTATGGAGGAAGTCGTCGTCGCTTCTCGCGCCCGTTGAGCGTTGGGCAAGTTGTCGATTTTTGGGATTTTTTGTGTGTTTGTGGGAAGATTACCAGAAAGTCAGCTGGCTGTGTAATTTCGTGTATACTCGTATACACATTAAAGCATTTTGTGGATTTCCTGGAATTTATGCGGAATTTATCTTTCTTTCGAGCATTTCACGAGGTTAATTTGTTGGATTGTGATTGATCTTTGATTTGGCGTTTTGCCGACGCGTCGGCATTTGATTAAAGGTGTAAATACAGATGATGATCTGGAAGAATGTATGATGTGATTGACGAATTGTTTTTGAAATTCTTAAGCGACTTGCTCATATAGTGCCGTTGATCGTTTGCAGAAACTAATTTCACTTTAAAATGTATTTTTCCTCAGCCTTATCAATTAGCTAGAAAAGATTTACAGGCCTCTGTCACTAATTTCTATTTGTGTTCATTAACAAATCCAGTGTAAAGCCCACAAAAATGTCAACAGACAAACAACAACACAGGCAAACAAAAACAGCTGCAAATCTTTTTCGAAAATTTCCAACAAATTTCTTAAACCACAAAAACGTTTTTCAGGGCTTTAACAAAGAAATTTATGGCATTTTGAAAACCCCTTTATGTGTCTTGCTCGTCAAACGCACTCGGGCTACAAAATTAGAAGCAGCTAAGACCACGGCGAAACAGAAGTTTTTCTAATAAAAATCACGTAAAATGTCGCCTTAATTTCAAACGAATCGAAACGTTTCGACCGAAGCCCCGAAGAGCACTCCAAATAATTTCAACTTAGGCACGATTCTCTGCCCCTGAACCATAAATAACGCGAGTAGTAGAAGATTCCCTTTTCTGAGAACCCCTTCTCGACTGACTACCAAAAGAAAGGGCTATCAATTTATTTTTGATGGCAGCAGGGCCATCCACAAATCCTCTCCAAAGAAACCACAAAGAAATTTATGTAATGCCTTCGCAGAAGCAGCTCTGGGAAATCTTGTCTTTCCTCATCTTGATCTGGATTTCGGGGCTACTGTAACGCATAGTTTGCCCCGCCCCAGCGAGAGTGTAACAAATTGTGAGTGCTTCTGTTGTTAACACGGTTAATAAATCAGAATTGTCCAAACAAAGGTGTCGAAGTGAAAATTTCATTCCTTTAGAAATCCGTGACTCTACCCTTACGCTCCCAGTCGCCATAGCGCGTGGGCTCTGGTCCAGCCTGGCCGCCGATTTCTCCAGTATAGGGATTGGTATTATTGGGCCATGGCTTCAATGGCTCCTTTTCGTGGGCCGGATGTGGTGCACATTCGGGCAGAGGTCCCTGCGGCGCCTCCGATCGCAGCTTTTCCCGGAACTCCAGATAGCGTTGGCTAAGTTTTTCATCGGGATTCGGTGGTATCTCAACCTTCTGTCTGTTAGCTGGTACTTCCAGCTCTTCAACTTCTTCTGATTTGGAATTCAATGCAGTTTTGGATAGAGAACATCGTCTTAGGGGTATTCCACATTGAAAGAGCCATGATCGGTAAACACGGAACATGTTTATTAACAGGTATATATATGCTTGACAATGAATGATTATAGAAAGTCTAGTTGATGTGGTAAACCCATGCCTGCTTCCTTTCCCCAATTAGTTAATTTAACCATTAAGTCATGATCCGTCGAATAATCTTCTCCCAAAGGGTTAAGGCCTGTCTCATTTCGCATTTTACCCACTCTAGCCGACAATACCAACATGCTGTCCAAACACAGTTTGACATGACTCCGGCTGACAGGCCCAGATCAAATGTCTGTCTCCGTTAGGGAGCCTCAGAGACTGAAAGCCTTAAAGTCTCGGCTCGAAGCCGTAGCAAAACGCTGGCTGAGTGACAAGGCTGACGGAGTCTAATGACTTTCAAGCAGCTGCCGCTGCTCTCGGCTGCAACGGAGATAAACTTCCGGAAACTAGTAGCTGTCCAAGGCAGTTAGCCGCTCAGGCTGTCAAGTGAGTATGGACACTTAAAAAATTACCAAGAGAATGGCCAAGGTAAAGTATGTTTTACGAAATTAAAATTGTTAAATGTTGACGACATCTCAAAGTAGGTCTTATTAATAGACAGTGTATGAAAGATTTTAATATGTAAAAGTATTCTTTACTGTGATATTTTCTCAGTGTAAGACTTGACTTAGCCCTCCCGTTATCGTTCATTAACAATTAAAAGTGGGCTGGCAACGTCCGTATCTCCATCTTCATCTCCATCTTCAACTCCACTCTATCTCCATCTGGATCTGCATCAGTCAGGCTGTCAGATTGGCGGGCTTGATCTGGGAGGCTTCATCTGGGATCAGAGCATGCTCCGATCGTGTCAAGCCCGACATGAGTTGAAATCGCGCCCCAGACACCTCTCGCTGCCGCGGTGCAACATCAAAGCGTTTTAAATATGGCTTGTGGAGGAATCAGGGAATCATCATCATCATGATCCACAATCCGCAGCAGCAGAAGGAGAAGCATTCTTCAGATCCCCCGATCTGTCGCCTGTCACTTGCATAACGTTCTCTGCAAATTTGTTCTGCAATCCAAACATCCCACTCGGAAATCCCGGAGCTGCCTTTTGGCAAAGAAAACATTAAAAGTTGCCGGCTCGCGGCTGTCAGGAGATTTGCCTTGCACTCGCTTGCATCACCGCGGTCGGTTGGTTTGCTCTGGTTTGCCCGCAAACTTTCTTCCCCTTTCTCAGTTTCTCCAGTTCTTAGTTCCCAGTGATGGGGTTCTTCCTCCCTTCTCGTTCATCTGTCAGCTGGCACTGCGGGTTGTCTACGGTCGAATTGAAACCGCTGCCTCAACGTCGGCATGACAATAATCTCGCAAATCTGTTTAAATTAAGCGAGACAAATGTTTCTTTCTGGCAGAGGGAATATGGGGCCAAGACAACCGCCAGACAATCGGACCAGCTCGAGCTTACCCTCAGCTCCTTATTGTCCACGTCCTGATACGGATTTTATCTTCGCTTCGTCTGTAGAAGTTTTGCTTTATTACACATTGTTAGTAACAAGTAAGAGGTAGTCAGGTTATGGGGGAATGTGTTCAATACACTTTTGTCATCTTTACAAAGGAATATCAATAATTGATAGATATATCTTTAAAAAAGTTATTTTGACTTTGAAAGTTGTAATAAAATATTACTAAAATATTAAAAATGGAACTAACTTTCTTTTCATTTATCTTTCTTTAAAACTTAAATAGATTGACTCATTAATTTCTCATCTTGAAACTGCAATTGAACCTCATCAACTTTCATCAAAAACGAATCTACATAACTCAGCATTCAAAAGGCAGAAACATTTTTATATCACAAACAAATGAAAAGCGAAATTCACAATAATTAAATCGTATAAAAAATACGAGCATTAAAATACAAAAGATATTGAACAAAATGTTAGCTGTGGGCTGTGTGTGCTGTCTTTGATCAGCCGTCAAGTGGTTTGATCGATTTCCACAATAATAAAATTCCACCGACAACTTGTCTATAATCAAAATCCCTCTGGGAATGCTGTCTGTTGGCTTTTTGACTGCTACCGCTGCTGTTTTTGTGGTAGGCATCCAGCAACCAGCAGCCAACGTCCAGAATCCAGCATCCATCAATCACAATGAAAAGTTTTCCCTCGGACCGACTCTGATCTGAGCTGCCAGATCTGGCTGCGCCCACCCATAAATTTGTTTGATCCTTTCCTAGCCGGATTTTACGGAAGAATCGAACATTTTCACACAGTAATAAAAATCTCAAACATGTTTGTAAAGTTGTTAGTGCCTGCCGTACGTACAGCCAGGCCTTTTTTCTGCCTTTTTCGATTGTAGGCGGTAGCAGAACATATAAATTAACATTTTGACTGCCAACTGGCGCGGCAAATGATCAAAGACACACAGTGCCGTCATCGTTGCGTTGATCATCGTCATCATCATCGTCGGGAGAGGAGCAGCAACAGTGCGAACATCATTCCACGTTTACGATCCATCAACACGAGCCATCAAATTGTATACAAACAAACGCAGCAAAGATCAAAAGCCGCGTTACCTACACACGAAAAATCTGTGCCTCATTTCGGTTTTCCCTTGCCTTTTCGTTTTTTCCCTCAAAAATGTATTCAAAGTCTGTTGGCTGTGGTCTCTTCACTTGGCTGCAACTGGAGAACGAGATTCTCCTCTCCTACTTGATGCTCTCATCTTGCCCCTTGTTGCCCCTTGTTGCATATTCATTTCGAACACACTCACCTAATTATGTGCCGCGGATAATTCCCGTTTCTCATCTTAATGGCCGGAGATACATTCTCTCTTTCATTGCCTGATATATCTTCGTAATGATATTAATAAAGATACTGCTGGATCGGCGGATGATGATCAGCTGTTTGGGTGGGGGTAATGGTAATGGGTTTTCATAGCCAATAAAATTGCAAATAATATATGAAGGCCATTATTTAAAAAAAAAAAATGTTTGGAAATTTGAGATTTCAAATCTAAAACTTCAATTTCATATTTTCCCTTCTTAAAACCATAAAGCCAAAAAAAGGAAACATGCAAATCAAAGTTAGGAATGAAAGGCGAGTAGTGGAGTGTCATAACACCATTAGCCATATCAAATGTCACCGGATCGTCAGAAAGCTGTAAATTTATATGTTGCCATATCCGGGGCAGTGAGGATTTTTCAGATTTAATGCCTCTGAGCGGCATGTCAAATTCAATTTTACCCCTAAGAGCCGAGACATCCACCACCAGTCACCAGTTAGTCGCCATTCTATATGCTATGGTCATATGCTATAGCAGGCTGGCAGGCAGGCAGCAGAAGCAGCAGCAGCAGCACAGACTGAGATCGACCCCAATAAAGTGCAATTAGCCAGATTTATGATTATCCCCTGTTATGCACAAATAATTTTTAGGCAATTTCATATACGCTCCGTGACCGTGGCACGTACGCCCAAGTCCCCGGAACGAGAATTTATAACACCAAACGTAAACAACAAAGAAGACAAATCGCTTTATTCTCGGTTGCCGCAAAAACCACCCCCTCCGGACACACCCCTTTTGCCATTCCCCTCGGGCCGTGGGCTTTATGGAAGTTGTGTATATGGTATATGTCAAGGATGGGGGCGGGAGGAAGGTGGCCATGTCCTCAGGCCAAGTCGAATAAAATCGAATTGAAATCTGCTCGAAATTCGATACCGTTGTGTGGCTTTCAACCAAGGAGGTTGGTCTTATTATCGATTCCATAAAATACTGAGAAACACCCCCGTCAGATCCATCAGTTTAGCGAATGTGTTGATAGTTTTCCATGAGAAGTTATCAAAGAAGAGACTACGATTTTGGAAAGGAAACCAAGGAATCGAGAGAAGAAACAAAGACTTAACTTAAACTTTATTATATTATCTCTAAACAGATAAAACGCCTACGAAGTAGCACACATTTCTATCAGGATATTATCAGTACAACTCACTTTCCTGCCACAAAGAGCTGGTCAACCCCTCTTAACCCTTGAACACCTCCTTGGCTCACTCCAAAAAGTATGCCTGGTTTCCGGGTGATGATAAGTACTTTGGCTCAGTTGTTTTTGTTTGTACATGATATTAATTTCGCGTAAAAGGGCCAGAACTTTTTTTGGTCCGACCAACGGAAAAGGGCAACCCTCGAGCTGTCAATGTCGCTGGGGTGGATGTCTGGATAGATGGATGGATGGCTGAAAGGATGGATAAATGAAGGAATGATGGCCAGAAGGGGTGTTGGAAACACAGCCAAAAGGGGCAAAATGTTAGCGGGCGTGTGCTGCTGTCAAAGTTGACAAATGTTGACAAATGGCTGGAAAATAATATTTCTGAAGCAGAAAGGAACACACGCTCCGCAAAAGTATTAATATTATTTGCCTTCATTAGTGGGCATGTATCCCTGAGGCGTCGTCCACATCCGAATTGACAACCATTTGCACTTGTTTCTGGATCGATGTTTTTTTTCTCCAACTCTATAGGCCAGGCTCGTCGCTCTTTGTGTTGTCCTGTCAAATCAATCATTTTGTGGGTCTGTTCGAGGCCATGGCTTCAACATGGTTTTTGCACTCTTGGATTTTTGCGTGTCTGCGTGTCCCCTTTTGTTATTGACATAAAGCCAAGCCATAATTTTTCATTGCCCTGCACACGCATGACATTAATTTTGTTGACAGTTTTCTTTTATTTCACTCCGGTTTTGTACTTATTCTTTTCCCTTCCGCCTGTCAGCACGCATTTACATGTGTCAGACGAGGTTTTCCTGCCCGAGTGGAGGGTTGGATTTGGTTTGACCAGGGGATTTTGTCCGGGTTACGAGTGCAGATTTTTGCGGTCTTACAGAATTTTGCAATGTTTTAGACAGATTTTGTGGTCCATTTATTTTTATAGAATTTTTCATATGGCATTTTGAGATTACTTTTTCATTAAAATGGTTTTATTTCTAAAATGTACTACTAATCTCCCAGTTTGTTACATAGAAAACTTCAAATTAGCTGAGAAATAAAATTATAATTTATTCTAACCTATTGCAGTTGCTCCACATTAATTATCAAG